TAGTATTGTTTTGATTTTTTTTTTTTTTTTTAGAAAAACATTATGGCATGGGGGAAATGGTGACACTTTGTACCTCGTACTTTCTTAGCCACTGGATTCCAACCTAAAAATTTAATTCCTCTTCCCTAAAGTTTTTGAGCGATTGGGATCATTAAGAGATAATTACGACTTAATTGTTAACAATTACTTTTGTTGCGAACTATGTGAATATATATTTATATATTCAGTACAAGGCCATGTTATTAACAGGGGGATAACTCATAGCCCTTTTCTGATCTGTTGCACAAGTCTCAAATATGATTGGGTGATTTCGAATAAATTAGTATATACGTATACATCTATTAATACACATAAATAATTTTTACTATTCACTGGAAGTTGATAGGAAAAACAGGAAAGAGGTTAACACTTAAAAGGAAACAGATAACACTGAATTGATGCCATTTTTTAAGAAAATCTTTTTGCTTCAATACACGTTTGATGCAGTATTAAATAGGCTCATCTTCTAAAAGGAAATATAATAAACTTTTGCCTAATTAATACATTTTTCACTTATTGACATTTTATTCACTTAAATGAGCCTTGAAGTTAAAAAACAAGATCCTATAACTTCTGAATTATCGCTCAGAACATTTGCTATTCAAAATCGGTATATGAATTGCTAATCACTCATGGGCATGTATTTCTTGGGAGGAGTTTTTGAACACATGTAAGCATAGCATTTGCAAGAATTCAATAAATTCAGAGCTGTCATTGCATTTAGACAAGTCTTTATGTTTTTTTTTTTTTTTTAATGGCAAGGGCTACAAAAAGTCAGTTAAGCAAATAGCGTAGTTTTATATGTTTGGATTGTTTTTATAATGTGTCTTTCAGAATGGGTTTTGCTTTATGCTGTGTGAGTCTTTCCCCCTCCCCATTTGGGGGTCTGAGGACACGCACACATGAGTAGTCACGCTTTTGCATTATTGAATATTTGATATCTGACTTTCTCGATGCTTGAGTCCTAACGCCCAAAGTGTTCACGAAGGGAGCAAGCAGCCATGGATTTCCAATCTTTGAAAATTCTCCGTGGTGACAGACGGAGAAGCCTTATTGAGGCGCTGTTCAGTTTTAGGGATCCGAATGGAAGTCAGCGACCATGTGAGTTTCATGGAGATGATAAATGATTTTCTGAAAAACAAAATTGCCATTTGACTCTGAAAAGTTAGTTTGTAAGAAATAACTTTGGAAAGTAGAAAAGCACTTGCAGTGAGAAGACAATCACTGAGTCAAATGTAAAAGTATTTCATTTAACAATCGAAATAAATGCTAATTTCAAAAAAGGATTCTCTGAGCTATAAGTAGCATCAATAGAGTTCAAATGTATTTTTTTTTTTCATGAGGCCTCTATTGTGTTATTTTCTTTAAACCAGATACTACGAAAAGTTGTGCATTATATGGCATTAGAGTCAATAGTAATAGTATGAAAGCCTTCGATTTTATGGATTGTTTGATACAAAACGAAATCTCTTATTAATGTTAAAAAAATCTACCTCTCCCTAGATGTTCATTTCAATTTTAGGTTTAGGTTTATAGTTTTTAAATTTAGGTTTTTCTTACTAAATTGACAGCAGAGTTGGAAATATTGATTGAGAAGAAACTTTAGCAAGTATATCATCTGTTTAAAAACCAGATTTATGGCCAAGGTATTTTTCCCCCTGTAAGATACATGGTGATTAGAAAATTGCTATTGTCTTTCAAATTTGGGAGTACTCAGGTTGATCTGTGGTTGGACAAAAGTAGCTTGTCTGCCAACTCTATTTATTTAGATAAGTTCAGTACTTTCACTTTGAAAATTTCTTTTCAGTTTGGAAAAAAAGTTTTAAATTATAGTCATTTTACAAAAATTGCTTCTAGCAAGCAAAAAAGTCTATGGAAAACCCATAATTTAGACAAGTCCGTACATTTTATTTGCTCTGTGCTGCTGAGATTTAGAATCCCTTTCCATTTACAGTTTACTTTTCACAGAACATTATTAACTTTTTGGCTTCATACAGGATCTTCTGTCAGATGCTTTTGATTTGTAATTTAGCAAAGTATAATAAACAGTGCAAAAGTCATGAATTTGTGCTCTGCATCCTGAGCTCTGTGGTAGGGAAAATGTGATAAAATGTGTACCTTAAGTCTTGTTTGATGATCTCTCAAAGCAAGTTTGCCTTCTGGAAATAATTTCTGGGGTTGAAGAGCATGGTATTAACAGATTTAATGTGGCTATTCAATGGATTGGCGAAGTACTATGTGAGGTTTAACAAAATGAGAGAGACAAATTGAACATCAACAAAAGTTACATCTGTGAGGAATTATAAATTTAATTAGAAAAAAAAGGAAGACTTGAAAGACCTCATTAACTAATCAGAAGTCAAAGTTACTAGTGTAGGATTCTTGAATTGAAACTCTCCAAGTCCTGCTATCTGTTTTCTCTTTGTATTTATTTTCACAACTCTGTCAGTATGCTACTATGGGTGTTCTGTACAAAGAGTTTTACAAAGCATTAAGGGAAAATGACTTGACGTCATAGAAGATGCCCATTTATGATACGGGAAATATTTGTGTGTTCATCGAAGTATTCGCATTAAAATTACTTCGGATTAGGGGAAGACAAGAAACATATTCAGTTTATGAAAGTAAAGTAGAAAAAGTGAGCTTCCTGAATAATGAAGGGCACTTTTTTCTAGTAAATGATGTTTTTTTTCTCTTTTGCACAGAAATATCCCTAATTATTTCTGAAACACATTATAGTTGTATACTTTTAAAAAAGAACCTTCCAGAGATACCGTCAAACATAAGAGAAAATCAACACCAATCAGAAATAGGTGTTCTTTTTAGAGAAGTCATTACAAGAGTATGTTTCCTTACTGCACTGTAATCTTGTACTACACATAAAAAACTAAAAGCATGTGAAGTGTAGCATTTTGTAAACTGTAACTAATTTTGTTCACATCTGTGTCTAATTGTTGTCTGCATTCGCATTCTTGAGAGTAGATTTATTTTTCCTGGACCACGATGTGGATTCAGCTGACCAGCCTAAGTGAGGATTAGTTGTTTTAAAGTTATTTTGATTAAAGAGTCATTTTTAAATACAGTAACACACAACACATGGTTTAAATAATCCTTGAGACACAAAAGAATATATCTGAAGTATACTTAATGAAATGAAGATCATGGCTGTGGACTTCCAGAAATCGTAGTGTTTGAAAGTACAGTAGAGACTGAGCCAGCGTAAAAGAAATACGTTGTCATAAAAATGCATTTTTTTCCAGTGAGGAAAGTGTGGTAGAATACTTCTTGTTTTGAAATTCATTTATTTACAAATGACAGTTTGACTTTACAATTTACATATATTTACAAACTCAACTGTAAATATAACCAAATTTTCAAAGTATACAATGAAATTATTATTACATTTGCAAGATTATGCTTTCTAGTTGACATTAAAATGGAAGTGTAATTTAACATTTAACAGAAAGTATGCCTTAAATACTCTTTCACATAATTAAGCCAAGAAAGTTCTTAAAACTAAGTTAGTTCTCACCTATAATTTATTCCAGGTGTATAAAAGTAGGGGGAAAAAGGAAATTTATCCTTGAGGTGTATTGCTGCTGTTTCTTAAGGAAACCATTTAATCCAGTGTGTGAGAACATTAATTTTAAACATAAATTGCAGAAACTTGTTATCACAGAAGGACACATCTGCAGGCATTAAAATTTGATTTTCATTTAATACTCCAGCATCTTTTAAACATTGTTTTCCAACCCAAACATATTATAGAATGCATAGCTAGAAATTTCACGTATCATTATGCCATTTCATAAATCATAATTAAAACATAACAGGACTCAGTCGAAGATGTTTGGTTGGATAATTTTAATACCATTTGAGATGCTTCAATTATCATCTTTGCTCTGTAACCCTAATCGACGTCAGTTCAGGTTGAATGAAAATGCACATCAAAGATTGGGAATTCCAGGCCATTTTAGATATTTTGTAGAATGCTCTTTCCTGCCTGAGCAGGGGAGCCCAAGCTTAGCCTCACCTGAGTGTTATCACCTGCAGGCAGCTTGAGATGCCAATGGAAAGAAGGGCAGTGATCTCCAGGTCAAGTAAGTTGTTCAGCAAAGTCCAAAAAATATAGCTTGATCTGGAAACAAAAGAGATGAAAATGCTGGCCAAGGCGGGTACTGGATTATTAAGTTGTCCATTCTCTCTCTCAGTGTAAAAGATGAAAAATTCACACACCAGCCACCCACCTCTAACAGCTTTTTTCTGTTTGACCCAGCAGAGCTGAATATGAGCACTCAGTGACTTTTCAAGTGGCACGAGTAAACAATCCCAGTGTTCAGTGGCATGACTTTGTGTATGGAAGCTTGCCTTTGCCATTTATCGTTAGGCCAGCGTTGCCCGAAAGTTGCCCACAAACTGTTTTAATGAATGTTAAACGGCACATAGTAAATGTAGGAGAAAATCAGCCTGATAAGCATAAGAAACTGTCAGGAGTAGAAGGGGTGGGCGGGAGCTCTATTTCAGCTGGTGATAACAGAAGATGAAAGATCTGAGGATGCTGGAGGATTACTGCTTGAACTACTGCTGTGAAACACGCTCATTTTGTTAATAGCTAGTTTTTCCAAGCACCTTTTCCACACTGCCTGGGCAAGGCGGCTTTGCATGTTGATTGGGGGAGGGGTAATCCCGTTTGCAGCTGTCATAGGCCAGTGATGAATCACTATCCCGTCATTTGGCTGCCGTCCCCCCCTGACAAGGGGAGGAGGAGGATAGACCTGCAGGAGGAAACAACAGTTGAGACCTCAACTTAAAGACAATATGCCTTTCACCGCTGCAGTATCCTCCTCCTTCGCTTTTGGTTAAAAGAGAGCATTGTCACTCGCAGCCATGGGCTCTGTGTAATTAAGAGCTGACACTGAAGCAGAGTAACAACAGCTTCCAATTTTTTACCCCGATCACAGGTGCAAACATCTCAAACCAGTTCAGATGTTGCTGTTTCCTCAAGTTGCAGGTAAGGATATTGTTGATATTTGGCATTGGGAGCGATTGCCTTTCTGAGACCCATATCTATTTTTGTCTACTGTTTCTCAATTATTTCTATTAATAGCAACGGGGCTCGGTTGGAAATAACTTAACAATGTGTGTATATGCTTCTAAACATTTTTTTTAAGTGTGGAGAAAGGGAATAGGAGCCTCGGTTTGGAGATGATTAGGGGCTATAGCTTCTGGTGTTAGGAAAACTGAATATGTAATGAGAATTAGGAGTGGAAAGTTGGAGTGGGAACTGGTTCTCACTTACATTCAGAAGACTTCTTGAACTAAAAACTCACTTTTTAAGTAAGCTTGTTCACGCGAAGCCATTTCAAAACATGATATCCATTGTCAATTTAAGTGTACCTTCCCAGTGAAAATGACTGTAGTTATTGATCTGGTGGGGATGAGGAGCAAATAGTATTTGCTTCATATATGTAACAGTAAACTTCCCCTGCCACCTTTATTTTGATCTGAAAAACACATAAAGTTGAAAGTGAATGGGCCTTAGATGTCTAAGAAAGAATTCAGTTGTCAGAAAACAGGAGGATATCTAGGTGTGTTTTCAGTGACTTAAATCAGTCCTCTCTTCATTAGTAGCTTATTAAAGACAACGGATAGTTCTGAAATTGGGAACATGAATAGTGGCTTTTGTGCCTTTTATAGAATAAGTAACTGCTGAGTCACAGAACATAAAGGGGAATGGAAATGTTTTAGATGGTGAAATGCAAAAGTGTGGCATTGAGGGAGAGTTGCTGCGTTGCCCTGAGTGAGCCATAGCAGAGGTATTCTGACCGCTGATGCTCCCAGGGATGTGCTGCAGGTTGGTTTTATCCCTTTTCAATTGGGCACGCTGTATGTAATCCACAAAGCAAACAAGTGAGCCAACATCATAATGTTTTAATGCTGCATTTGTTTCAAGGGAAACAGAGGAACAATTAAGTAGTTTGCCAGAGTAAACACATGCATCAGAGCTATCTCATTCCCTGTCACTAGACTATAGGTTTCAAGTGTTTTATTTGGTTTAGAGACCCATTAAATTACAATTGGGTGGTAAATTATAAGGGAGTACCTAGTGTTAATGTATCAGAGGAAACCAATTCCATAGAAAAGTGATTTATTTCTACTTGTTTACCTGTTTGCCTTTTCTATTGGAAAAAAGAATATCTTGGGTGTTTTTCACATAGAAAAGAAATGTATAGCTGTATTTTTTTCCTTTCAGTGTTAAAAGAGGTGTTGCTGTCTTGTGTTAGGCCTTGTGATTCGATAAACTATGTGAGAGAAAGATTTTTAAATATTCAATGAGAATAGATGGGTAAGGCAAGTGACCTCTTTCACAGTGCATGTAGTGAAAGGATGGCTGAAGTCACCATGCAAGCTAGGAACTATTTTGAGTCTAAGAAAATAGATACAATGGGACTTTTGTTCCAGTGTATTTCAAAGAAGGTGTCAAGTCGTTAGCGCATTAAACAGTGCTGTTATGAATTTGGTGCATCTGTCAAACGGAAGGCTTCTTGTCTTTAGGTCTATGGAAATGCAGGATCTAACCAGCCCGCATAGCCGTCTGAGTGGTAGTAGCGAATCTCCTGGTGGTCCCAAACTCGATAATTCTCACATAAATAGTAATTCCATGACTCCCAATGGCACCGAAGGTGAGTGTCTGCCTCTCCCTGCTTCTTCTGCACCTTGTCTCTTCATCACGTAACAATACACTGCGTTACTAGGTAGTGATGAGTTCATTTCTAAAATCCAGGAGACTACTGTTTTGTTTCCCGTTTAGGTCATTTGACTTATGAATCAATATTCAGCCTACTAGGAGCTGTGTGTTATCAGGTTATCGTACCATTACATTGACTGCTTTTATCCTGCAGATGCATATTAATACACACAAACGCTCTACGTAGGTGGGTGCATAACATTTTTAACCTTTGCCTATGTTTTTATCTCCCTGTTGATTATGCATAGCACACCATCTACTTGCATTGCTTTGCTATATGAGCAATGAAAATGTAGAATTATTTCTTTTATGTTATTTTCCCTTTTTTTGGCTAAATATAATCATATTTGTTTAGATGTAAACATTGAACTGGATTAGTTCTAGATGTCCATTAGATAATTTGTGTGCCCAGTGTTCTTCTAGCTTTGACCACTAAAATATAAATAAGCAAAAAGCAAAACGTAGTTTATAAAATAGGCAACTTTACTTGAATAGATATGCTAAATATATTTACTTTCTTCAAGCTTAAATAGTATACTTTAAACATAGTACTGTTTAAATTATTTCTTTATAATTAATATGTGTGAATATTTATGGAAATTTGATGTAAATAGAAATATCTACTTGGATTCCTAAATAATAAGTCTAAATATATAAGGTTTATATGTTTTGCTACCTGTTAGGCACAATCTTTAAGACTATGCATAGTTTTGAAGCTTTACTTTATGGAAGGATATGTTCATGTTGCATAGTATTTATTTCTGCATTAGCCTATTGAAAAATTACTACTTTACAGATGACACTTTTGCTTATTTATTCCTTACTAATCCTCAGGACCTCGATGAACTCAGAGCACACATTTCATGGAAAGTTCAATGACTTATTCATGTTAGATTTCCACCCATAGACAAAGTCCCGAACCATCTTTTCCCAATCACTGTTATGATTATTTATCCACAGTTGTTAAAAGTAAGCAAAACTAAATGTTGTAAAATTGTCTTTGTGGTGCATTATTTTACCATGCATTAGTGAAGACGTTCGAAGCTTAAAATATTATGAAACTGATAATAGCTAATATATAAAATCTGTTTCTGATATGAGATGTCCAAATTTTTAAGCCAATAGTGATTGTTTTTATTTCTTAATATTTTGTACTTTTTTAAGAGTAAATACATTTATTCCAGCATTAGAAAAAATGGATGCTGTCAAAAGTAGAAGCTTTGCTGATTTAGCCAAAAACACTAACCTCTGTGTAAGGTGCCTTGTTACCTGAAGCTCTTTCCTTCCCACTTGGATAGGCAATGAAAAATTTAAGTAATTTATAGGAAAGCCATTCTAGTGTGTAAGTAGATTTGCTAGAGCTAGTGAAATAAAAGCAAGCAATCCTCTTTCCCCTCTTTTTGGAATTTGACTTCAGGTGAAAGCATATTCGCTGCAGAGTGCAGACGAGGTGTGGAGACACAATCACACAGACCACGCAGGTCCTTGTACCAACGGGCCCCAAGAGCCAGGGTGCAGGGAAGTCACTTAGGGCCATGGGCACACCTTTCACGGCCATTTCTGTCAGTGTAAAGATAGTCATTTGATGTCGCTTAAAAACAAGAAAGACTATGTATGTTAAACTGTTTTGCTTGTTAGAATATACTAATACATATTGGGAAGAATAGTTATGAAATACTGGTAGTTAATTATTTTGTACATGAAGACATTACAATAGGGGTAAGAAGTTCTCATCTCAGCATTTCACTGGTAAGTTGTCATCTACAAAATAAGAACCATACAGTTTCAAAACAGTATGTGTTTGGGGTCTATCACTTTGCATGACTTTGTGTGAACGATATGTGACTTGCTTCTCAAGTGCCTCTCGATTGATAGTATACTTTTGAATATTTAGACTTCATAGCCTGATATCACATTCAGGAATATTGCACTACGTTTCTGCATAACTAAAGTAAGTTCAGAATAATAAAATATTTTCAATAATTGTGTGATCTCCTGAACCATTTAATCTGAGAAATGCTTAGGAATTATTCCTTATTTTAAAAAAAGTTTTTAATTTGCATGGGACCAGTAGATGGCGTAATGGTCACATTGCTAAACTCTCACAAGGCTAACCGCAGTTCGAGTCTCCGACCCAGTGGCTTGAAATTCATGCCGGGCACATATGCGTGCATGTCTAAAATTCCAAGAGGAGAATAGGGGAGAGGGGATTGCCGTGTAGCCATCCCCTCTGTGGGCGGGGGTGATTTCTTGCTTTCTGTCTCTCCAGCAAGTGCACACATACTATCACAAAAAAATCCCTCTCTCAAAAAAAATTTTTAATTGCATTTTATCTGGGAAGTGAATTTTTTAAACCTCATTTCAGACAAAAACACAGTTGCTCATCTTATGTTATTTTTCAGGTATTCTTCATTTGTGTACTTTACAAGAGTTATAGTATAAATAGTTAGAAAGTGAAGTTAAAATGTCTACAGTATAAATAATCCAAAGAATAAATGAGATTTATGTCAATCTACTGGGCTCTTCAGTCTTATTTTAGTATACTGTTTGAAAATATGGATTCAAACTTTCTTCACGATTCCTGTTACATGTCCTTTCAGAGCCAAACAATTTCAGAAAGCTGTAGGTTATTAAGCTTATGAGTCAATTTATCATGCTCCTTACATGTTTCATAGTGTCTTTGTTTTATTCCTCTCCATCACCACTAGAGGAGGTAAGCTTAAAATTAGTGTGTTCATGAATGTCTGGCAAGCTTCCCTGGGATAGAATCATGATAGATTTTCCTATTTCTTCTTTGAAATCTTATTTAGTTTGAAATCAGCAGTGTTTACCAATGAATTAGAGGAATAAAGATCAAGAAATCCATTAAAATTTAAATTCTTTAAAGTATCAATCACCTTCTCTAACTCCACAACAATTATTTCCAACTACGTGCACCATCATTTATGTTTAAGTCACTTCTCTGCAGTCCAGTTGAAAATAGTCTCAGCTCAATTCAAATTAATTAGGTTAACACAACTTCTGTTTCGTTCACACACTTGTTGGCTTTGCCTGCATTTCTGTAGGTTGTCTTCTCTCATGGAGAGCTATTTTTTACTTCCTGCCACCACTTGTCCCTATAATGAGGCTAAGAAAACAAGAAAATCTCCTGTATCAAAAACCATAACTTCATCTGAAGAACAAACAAGAAGGGAATGGAACGGCGAGGCAGAGAATATTAGGTTTCTTCTTCAGTCTGCTGCCAAATTATCATAAGACTCAATGTTTGTAGGTCCTGTACTCACAGGCTAGTGCCTATTTTCATGGTTCATCTAAGGGATAAAGACACTGAACTACAGCCTCACATACTGTGGTTCTTTATTTCCTATACGAAGTGATCTTCAGTTAAAATAGTTGTTTGAATGTTTTTTATATTTTAGAAAACTTGCAACTCTTCATATTTTTCGGTGTTATTTCAACCTCTTTCTGAATTGGTGTCATTGCAGTTAACCATTGGTTTTTCCCAGGTTACACGTCTTTGGACTTTATATATCTGTGGTTATATACGCTGTCATCCATGGAAAATAGAAATAGATAAATACAAACAGTAGCAGAAATGAATGTTTGACTTACAACGAGAAGAAAGTCATTGTTAGAATGATGTTTCTAAATGAATTAATAAATATTTTAGTTACTATTGAACAATTAAAGCTTGACCTGGAGGAGACTAATGGATGTAAAAATACCAATTGTGGCTTTTCTTTTGTTTTCTCTGTTTTTTTTTTTGTATAGTTTTCCAGGACAAGATGGAATTAAAATGTCTTATTGGAGAGATTGTTAAAGCATAACATTTAAGAAATAGGCTTTTTAGTAGTGGTGCTTCTGCTAAAAGAACATCAAACCTCAGAAGATTTCTAATGTTTGAGCATACGCTCAAGCCTCTGTTTGGCTGTGTGTTGTCATTTGTGTTAAGTGTGAGAAATGGTCAGGAAACCCTCCTTCAGAAAAACTCAAGGCTTTAGCAGTAAAGTGATTTTTATTTACGTACCTAATTAAGGCTTTGTTTGCAAAGCAGTGATTCTTCCCATCTTTGTTTTCTCTGGCTGTCTTAAGTCCATGGGAGCCTCAGATTGGTCAGTTCATATATTGCTGGTTTAAGTGTTTATTTTTGGTTGTCTGGGGGTAAGAAGTGGAGAAGGGCAAAAAAAAGGTGTGAGGGAGAGACAATAAGAGCTCTAATTCTGAATTTTCTTTATTGCAAATCTAGAGTCAGACTCAAGAAAAAGCTTAAATTTGTCTGAAAACAGATAAATTTGTCTTTAAGAGATATTAAGCCAGATGTAACTGCAATCTTGACAACAAATAGGGTTTCGAGAATTCTGATGGTAATTCAAATAGTAATTTCAAATTGGTATATCAGATTTCTAGGATGATAACAGATACAATCTTGAATTAGGTGGCTAAATTTTCTGCATTTAAAATTTATTTAATTGTGTGTTGCATATTTTAGGATGATAGGCTAACTCAATTTGACAAGTGAGTATTATCAGAATCTGTTTTAAAACTGTTCTATCATTTCTACAAAGCTGAGAACATTAGCAAATTATCTGAATTTGGTTTTCTCACTTTGATTTCAATTTAGTAAAATATGGTTCCATACAACTAGAGTATTTTTAAAAAAACTTTTTTACAAGAAATATCTAAATGAGTGAATGTGTATAAAATTACAGTTTGAGGCTGCATTTTACAGGCTATGTTTATGTATTTGTGGTCAAATACTCTGTTGTCAATAGAAACATGGTAATCTAATTTTATTATTGTTTACATTCTGCACATGATTTAGTTTCTAGAAGATTAAGGAACATTGTGAGTAAAGGAGTTTCTAAATGACAATTCTGGAGTTTGTAGCCACAGAATTGGCCTCTTATAAATTGCTTTTAAGCAAAAGCCATGAAA